ATATTCAAATTATTACTTTTAGTGAGAGTGCTTGAGTGTGTGCTCACGGGAATAGACAATGATATATAGAAGTATAGAACCCCATTTGGTGATTCTACTTTTCGGCTTATTAGCCATCAGACTTATCGGATTACTTTTTAACCAGACATATAACTTTTGATTTCGCGCGCTGAATTGTTTAATAAAAAATGTAAAGTTGATTTACTTTTCTGACTATATTGGTTGAAATTGTTGTACATGACCATTTCAGCAGATCAGAATCAGTCAATACAGCCACCTCAGTCAGAACTTCATAAATTTCAGCAGAATCAATCGATTCAACTGATTATGATGTTACCAAACGGATTCATAATATATGGTACATATCATTTTATTTTAGTTTATTCACATTTGAACCACACCCCTTATTCTTTCAACCATATTATTAATATTTGTACGTCAAACCAAGCAAAATAAAAGGCAAGTAGTAATAATATCCGGAGTGTAAGAAGTTCAAAAATTATTTGTTTGAGTTTATATATTTCTGTTAAATAGGTTGAGGGTAACTTACTAATAAAAAAGTCATACACAACATACTACGTAGTACTCCGTATAACTTAGTACTTCATCTGTGCCGCTAAGAGAGTCTTCGCAAGAAATTAAAAAGGTGCTTTTCAGATGTTGGTTTAAAAAAATATGAAATGAGTGTTTTAGGGAGTGTTTGCGATTGCTTGTGCTTTTCAAAAGTGATTTTTTAAAGAGATTATTGGAAAAGTGATTTAAAGTAAAAGTAGATAGTGTTTGGAAATAGAAGTGATTTTTATTGAAAGATAAAAGTTGGAGTGTTTGATAAAAAAGTGATTTTTTTGGAGTAGATTGTAGAAGTACAAATTTACCCTTCCTAATTAAATAAATGCCTAAGGATCCGTCTCTTTCCTAAGCTTTCTTTCATCGCAGAAGGCACTTTGTTCATGGAGCAAGTTCCAGAGCTTGGATGGATTTTAAAAAATTCTTAAATCTGCCTCACACTTTGGGAGATCAAGAGGAAAGGAAGAAGTAACAGATAAGTTCTATATATTAAATGTGACATGGACATTCGCATGTGGGATTTGGGAATCGGATACCACGGATCTGGGATTTGGGAAGCATGAATGTTCACAAAGCAAAAAAAAAGCAGAGAGCAGGGTGTTCATTTCTTTTGCTGTCTGCGATTATTGATATATACTCCGTATGAAATTGAAATTGAGATGTTGTCGTTTCTGTAGTGCTCATGCGAAGGAGAGGGAGGAACCATCGTCTGTGGGGACGAAGGGTAGTCCAGGGACTAAACAGTATAATTGGGAATAAAACTATCCTAAAAGTTGGAATTATTTACCAAAAGCCCTAGAAGCAGATAAAAGCACCTCTTGGGCTGCTTCTGCTTTTTGGCTTTAAATGGCTTAAATAAAGCTGAAGTTGGTGTTAGCAAACACCACTTTTAGCTTTTTCAAAGCTAAAAGCTCAAAAGTGATTAAAAAAAGTTTTTGCAAACACAGCTTTAGAGTGATAACTTCTACTTAAATTAAGCACTTAAAAGTTAAAGTAAAAGATAGAAGCAGGTTGAAAGGTGCTTTAAAGTGCTTTTCACTTTTCTATTAAACAAAAACACATTTTTCTTAAACTACCAACTTTTACTATTAAGCACTTTCTCTAAAATTACTTCAAAAAACCCACCTTTTTAAAGATGAAGCAATAAGATTATCTCATGCCAAATTTGATAAAATTTATGTGACTCTAAATCATATTCTTACTTTATCAATTTAAATCAACCGCATAATCACATTTTATTGATTTGCGTGTCACTCCATCTTTTCTCATAGTTAGTGGGATGGTTGGAGTAACTATTAGTGACTATAATTATGTTCAAATTAACATATATATTATTAATTTCAAGTAAAGTTTGAACTTCAAACCAAGCAAATTAATGGTTGGAGTACTAAGTAATACGGAGTATATTTGTCCATCATATTTTAAAAAATAATATTAATGGATTTTATTTTTCTGTTTTGATACTCTCTCCGTTCGTAATTAATGTTCTCATTTTCCCTTTTTTGAACGTCCTTTAAGAAGTCATCTTTTCTTTTTTGATAATAAAAAAAGTAAAAATAGCAAACGGTGTCTAAACAGTGTCAAAAATGTCAATTTCTTGGGATGTTTTCTTTTTTATTGTTTTCAGTCCCAGATCAGATCAGACCAAACCAGATCAGACCTGACTTCCATAGTTATAAAATACACAGAGACCAGACATTTAGCAGACCAGACCAAACAAATTCAGACTATACGAGGCCAGACAAATTCAGACTAGATCAGATGATCTCTGCTGCGATTTCAGAAAGACACCTTCCACCGTTTTGATCATATCTCTTGATTGGATTATTCAAATCACATTCGGCAAATTGGGGTGGATAGAGGACTTCATTATCTACAACTTCATGAAGGAAGTTTTGTCAAATTCGGAATTTAAGTAGGCACGATCGTGCGTGAAGAGAAAACACGGAGGAGTTACTGCCAGCCAGGCACGATCGTGCCTGGAGGGAGGCACGGTCGTGCCTGCCCAAAATGCGCGTTTTTGCTCCGGGGGCACGATCGAAGGCACGATCATGCCTGGCATCGTGTCTGGCTCCGAAAATCCTAATTCAGCTCAAATTTCACCCGATTTTTCTATTTAAACAGCCTGTAAAGCCCCGTTTTCAAGGGGGAGCTTAGAGAGAGTGCCTAGCACGAAATTTAGAGGGTTTTTCAGCCTTGTTCATCAATCTTTTGGGATTCTTTGTAAGTTCCACCTTTTTAATTAATGACAATTAATTCGTTTTTATTCAAATTCTATTGATTCTTCAATTATGAATTGTGAGTAGTTTTAATTAGGGATTTGGGATTGATGAAGGGGTTAATCATGATGTATGGCTAGATTCTTTATGGGTTAATTGCATGAATGCCGTTTAATTTGTGTTTGAATAATTTAATTGATATCTTTTGTAACCTGGAATCGCGACTAGAATTACAATTGCTTGTAGAATAAATTAAGAGAGATCTAGTTTGTTCTAGGACACATTCACACACACTTAATCGTTCGCTAAGAGATTAGTAGCGATTAAGGGGCCGTAAGCTCGCTCGTCTTGGCAATAATTTAGGATCCTGTCGCATGAGAGATCAGTCTGGTCCCCTAAATTATTGTTCTCTACTCCGCGAGAGCGGTAAGAACTTAGTAATGATTAGCTAGGCTCAATTAAATTAATTTCATGTAATTAGGCCTGATTTGCCAGAAATCTGGTTACCCTGGAATTGATCCCTGTTCTCTTCGTCATTAATTGGAAAGAACCCCCTAGTTTAATTGTTCGCATTAGTTTTATTTTCCAAACCAACCAATCTCGCACGACGCTTTTATTTTATTTTCTTTTTAATCGCTGAATTTAATTAATTCTTGATTCCCTTTTGTCCGTCCATGTGGAGACGATACTCGTACTTACACCACTATATTACGGTCTATTTTAAGTGCGAGAAAACACTCATCAGAATACATGTACCTTAAGTATATCAAGACATTGGAATGTATAGAATCTTTCGGGAGATTTATTCAATCTGATATGGATTTCTAAGTTTTAGGGAGGACTCCTTTAAAAATGTTTTTAATTGAAAACTAAAATTTTCTAGTTTGATCTAATTCGATATGATATAACATGGTCTTGTATGATAAATGTCTCATCTATGTACATTGAGAAAATTGTACATAAATAACGTATAGAACTTTGATGAATTCTTATCGAACTCACCAAAATTTCTATTCATAATTGTATTTTTAAAGTTTTTATTAAATATTAATAAAATTTGCTATTAATATTCATTAAATGAGGCTTAATATTTAATTAGGCTCATTTAATTATTGAATGTTAATACAAAATGATTGTATAGCGTATTTCATGTTGAATAGTGATTACATCCCTTCAAAATGATTGTATAGCGTATTTCATGTTGAGTAGCATATTTCATGTTGCATATGAAAGATAATAAAAATTATGAATCCTGATACTTTTTTGTAGAAATAGAAGTACAAATAGTAAAAAATTTTGTAGCAATCGAAGTACAAATAATAAAAAATTATACTCCGTAGCACTTTAATAAACATATGTTGGCACTTTAAAATTATCTATAGATACATGTACATTTACATTTGAAAATTTCTCTTGGTGGCAACCCTTCCAACCCCTCGCTGTCTCTGCTATAGCCGCGGGCACATACATACAAAATCACAAACATACATCAATTTCAAAAAGATTAAAAAAAAAGGATGACACCCCACCCCTGAGGGCCCCCCAACACCGACCGGGCGGCACGATGGGAGGATGTTAATTGGACTATAATCACAATCTGACAGATAGAGAGTGGGGCTCTGTCCCCGGTACTTGCAGAAGCCCCATGCATTTTTCAGCATAGTAACCCCTCATCGCAGTTGTCGGGATTCGAACCCGAGACCTAACCCTTGTGACACTCCCTCGCTACCAGTTGAGCTGCACCCACCGGTAATTTCAAAAAGATAAAGGTTCAACGGTTTGGTGAGGTGGGAACGTGGAAGCTGATCTGATCCGAAGACCGAGCATATCCATGCAGTAGCTAGGGATATATGCCGCATATAAGTAGCTAGCTAGCTAGAGCTACTATATGTCTTAATTACTCTCTTATCTGTATGTATGTATTATTCGACGCATGTACTGATATATACATACGAATTAAATCGATCTACGTCGTACTAGCTAGCAAGTATACGTAATGTGACGAATATAGGAAAGGATAAGAATCGGAGTGCAGAAAGAAGAAGAGAGGATTGGCTGCAATGCTAAAGGAATCCCATGCAGTGACCGATAAAGATCGCAGAATATCTCTGCCCCCGATTTTCTCCCGATTCTTTCTCCACCCCCACCCCCATCACCTCCCTCCCTATATATATTTGCTGCTTTGTTTCATCTCTCTCAGATAACTAGTACGAATTATAGTAAATTATAAGCTTATATATTAATCATAAACTAAGCTTAATTGCTTTTAAATTTTGAGATCAGCTGAAGAAACAGAAAAAATGAAAGCAGCAGCCTCTTCCGGTTCATCATCATCATCTATGGCGCAGCCCCACGTGCTAGCTGTGGATGACAGTCCATCAGAACGCAAGCTCATTGAGAGGATTTTTCAAGCCTCTTCCATTAAAGGTAGTATGTAATCTTTAATTATGTAGGTTCATATTTATTTTGTGGCTGTAGCCTGTATGGTTCTTTTATTTTTTGTAGCAACTTTTATATTTTTCAGATACTATAGATATATGGCTAATAAATTAGAAAAACAAATATGAAGTGCAGAACAATTTTTTTTTACTTGATACGTTTACATTTATTTGCAACCTACAGTTTTCTTCTAAACAAAATATGATAATTTTACGAGTATTTATTTTCAAAATATGACTATTTTGGTGATGATCCAAGAAAATGTAGTAGGTAAATGTAAAACGTACTACGAATTTATTTAAAGCATAAGAGTCTAATTTTAAAACATTGATGACTTATATGTGAAAATTGTTTTTTACTTGGGGAATGGAGAATGGTCTCTTATTACTCTCTCTGATATCTTTTTAACATTAATAAATTGTGTCATAAGATTTAATATCCTTGCCTTTATTCATTTTTGTTTTTCTGTTTACCTTCGTTGTGGAAACAGTAAATACTCTTATTGTGGAATAAGTCGTCTGTACATATATATTTTAAAGATAATATTAACTTCTTATTAATGTGTGTTATAGTGTAGATTTATATATATCTATATACGTAGTATATATTACGGAGTAATACGATATATAGAAATTACTCTAAATATGATTAAAATTTAGACAAAATGCAAAAATAGGATTACATATACGGAGTATTTTATTTCCGAGATATGACTCATTTGATCCTATTAAAAGTACTCGCATAAGATTTTCCCTTTTAGGAGTCAATAAGTCTAATTTTAAGAAAAAACGACAATGGTACATTTGCACTTTATTTATGTTTTAGACCTATATACTCCATTCGTTTCAATTTCATTGACATAGTTTGACTTTCCAAAGATTAAGGAATTTTTTACTGGGAGGTAAATTTTACTGTTTAGACACTGTTTTGCACTGTTTTGTTTAACAAATGAGAAATGTAAAATTAATTTTGAAACGTCCAAAAAAGGAAAGTGTGTCAAAGAAATCGAAACGGATGAAGTAAATAAATTTATGTTTTAGATATAAATAGTAATATGAAGTGTTTTGGTCTATTTATCGTGTAGTGACCGTCGCTGATAGTGGACCGCGGGCACTCGAATTGCTGGATAATATGGTAAGACGCCAAACTCTAAATTTAGGATGTTTTCTTTTGGACTGAAATTTGCTTGCCTGGTCTGGTCTGATCTGGTCTGGTCAGGTCTGTTTAAGTCCGGTCTGGTCTGAACTGGTCTGGTCTGGTAAACGTCTGGTCTCTGTGTATTTTATAACTATCCAAGTCCGGTCTGGTCTGGTCTGTTTAAGTCTGGTCTGGTCTGGTCTGGTCTGACCGGGACTGACTATAATTAGGATAAGACTCATTAAAGTAAAAACTCAACTCAAAGTTCTTACCCGCATCTAAATTTAGTGCATGCAATTAAAATACGAGTAGTTTATTACCATAGTTAATGTTCTTTATTGGATTCTATTTAAAATCTGAACTGTATAAATGACTGTTTTTGGATACATGCATAATGCATTGGAAGGGATACATAAATGACTATGTATATGATTATTACTACGTATATTTAGCAATCAAGAGTCGTCCTTTCTAAAACTCTAAACCCAATTCCCAAACCAACATTAAAGATCTTAACACCTGCATGGTAGCTCAAATTAAGTGAGGCAAATGAGTTGAGGTTTCAGAATCAACACCCGACAGCGATTTCACCTTTTTGAATTGGTGAGGTATACTACTCAAATAATACTCCGTTTCATGTGGTTAATGCATGGAACCCCTCTTGATATAGCAATTCAGCACATTAACCTCATGTGATTTAAAAATTGCATCAAACCCCTTGTGTTATACTTATTCATGCGCAGAACCCTTTTGTGAATAAATTTAACAATTTTAAAATCATTTTTCTTAATATTATACTCCGTATGATTCAATATTCAAGTAAATTTGTCAAAAACTTCAAATTATACAAAAACGTTAATTATTTTTCTTTTATTTGACAATTAAACTTGTTCAAATAAGGGATTCTGCACATTTTATTAACAATAACACATAGGAGTTTGACGCATTTTCTCAACCATAGGAGCTCATGCACCGATTTTCTATATCACAAGGAGGTTTTGGGATTAAACCCCATCTCATGAGAAATAACTCGCATGCTTGTAATTTTTCCAAATATGAACAATTGACCATCATTAAGTTTTTCATAAGCAATATTTTTACTGCTTTTATTCTTGCAATTGGGGTTAGTAAGGAAAGTCTCTTTTAAAAAGAGGTAAGGGTCAAATTGGTATTCAAAGTTGCATAAAATTAAAGAGTCAAATAAGTCCTTACTGTCCGGCCGTCGCCATTTGAGGCAGTTAACTATGCAGTTAAAATTCAACCGGGAATTTTAACTGCGTATTTAACTAGACTGTTAAGTTTGAATGCCTTCCCGGTTGAATTTTTAGCTGAAATTTGATATGAATAAACTAGATTTAATGAATAAGATGGTCAAAAAATTTTGTCAAAAATTCCACCGGGAACCGCCCCAATTGGCGATGTCCAGACAGAGGCTCCTATATAAAGATTTATTTGACCCTTTTTATGTAACTTCGAGTATCGATCTAACTCGTACCTCCTTTTAAAAACAAATGACTTGATACTTAACTTGTGAACTGGATGGATCCATGTAGCATGTTTTTTATTCGCCGAATTTAATAAAATGCAGGAGCGTAAGGTGTAAGGATGGCAATGGGGGCGGGGGCCCGTGGGGAACCGCCCCGTGGGGGGGAGTTGGGGCGGGTGGTGGGGTGGGGCGGGTGGTGGGGTGGGGGAGATATTTTCTCCCCGCAAAAATATGGGGCGGGTGATGGGTTATGCACCCCCCGCACCGTCCCCGCCCCGTCCCCCGTAATAATTAATAATAATAATCTCAATAATAATACTAATAATAATAGTAATACTAATACGAAGTAATTAAAATAGCGTGGTGGTCCGGTGGGTTTAGTGGTTTCCTATCTAATGGATTGTGCGTAATGGATCTATCTAATTCTTGTTTAATAACTAAGCTATCTTGTAAAATTGCTTATCAAAATCATAAAGTAAAATGTTTTTTTTAGAGATAAAATAAAATGAATTTGGGAAAGTTATAAAGTGATATTAGCTTAAACGCCTCAGGCACGGTGTGAAAGTTTTTTTCCTTTACTATTATAATGCATTAATTCTTTTCTTTTGAATGTCATCTTTATGATTGTAGTTAGGGCTCTTAAAATTTGGTGATCATATGTCGTCCTAGATGCCGTCAAATGACCATGATTGATTGAATGCAGGGTTTAAGAAAATATTATAGAGCTAATCAATGCTAATTTAGAGTTTGATAAAAATTACTCCACTAATTTAGAACGCGTATAATGTGTTCTAGATTTGAAATGGGATGTAAGATTTCATTGACACTTAAAAAGTAAAAAAAAATTGGCTACTAGAAGTGTTGTTAAATTTTTGAAAAATTGTCAGAGTCTAAAATGATGTTAATTTTTGACGAGTACTTCCCCGTTGGGTACCCGTGGGTCTAGCGGGTCGGGGCGGGGGATGGGGCGGGTCGAATAGTAGTGGGGGATGGGGCGGGGGTGGGAGCGATTTTTTAGACACGGGGCGGGGGATGGGGGAGTGAACCCCCGCCCCAACCCCGCCCCATTGCCATCCCTAGTAAGGTGGACTTAATCGTGACTGACTATTGCATGCCGGAGATGACTGGATATCAACTGCTTCAGAAAGTCAAGGTATCAATAACTTTTGCACGATTTTCTGTACTATACATACTCCGTATTTATGTAAAATTGTGATACAAGCTAAGCTAGCCTATATTGAAATGACAGGAATCTCCTAAGCTGAAGGAAATACCAGTTGTGATTCTCTCATCAGAGAATCTTCCTAGTCGAGTCAATGAGTAATTACCTTCTCTCCATCATTATACTCTACTCCGCAAATAATTAAGATAAGAAAGTTTCTTAGTATACATAAGTGCGCATTAGTAATTCGTTTAAATGGGGACCAAATGTGATGTTAAAACCCTTCTAACTGCCTGTGTACCTAGGTATAATGTACGCATTTTGTATACATTTTATGTACGCCAAGAATGACCCAATAATTAAAACTCGTACTCCATCATTACTTAATGTTAATTTTTCCTCTCAATGCCCCGGTTAAATATTGAAATTTCGATTTAAAATGTTTGACTCATGGTAAGTTATTTGTTCTTGATAAAAAAAAGTGTTAATGTTAAGAATTAATTATAATTTTTTATATTTCATCTTTTATAAAAAAAAAACTTTGTTAAAAAATAAAGGTTAGAATTGATGTTGGATTATTTTGTTTTGTTTTAAGAAATAAATCCCTGATATATGATATTTGTAAACTACATTAGTGTTCTTTTATTTAGTGAAAAATCTATCTTAGAGAAACGTCTCCCAATTCTGAATTAGTGCTCCTATAAATATCTGGTAAAAGTGTAAATCATTTCGCTTTGCCTTAATTTTCATAATAACGAATTTTTTACATTTAAATTCATTTTTTCATTTTCATAGAATTTGTATCGCGTAGTGTAATATTTAACTATCTTAGGTTTGATTACAAATAAGTAATACTAGTACTAATATAAATTTAAATAGTATGTACTGAATTAATTTAAAATTGTGCCAGTAAATGTAAATAAGAACTACAATTGTATTTTTCATACTAATTTGTGCAACAACAAACTGCAGGTGCTTGGAAGGAGGAGCTAAAGATTTCCTGTTTAAGCCTTTCCAGAGATCTGATGTTGAGAAAGTAATGACTTACTTAAAGTAAATCAGCCCTCTTCTGCCCAAATATGTGGTACAACAGATGGAGAGTAGAATTAATCAAGACATATAGATTTAACTACGTATTGACTGTACTGGAGAATACTTGTTTAACCTCTAGATATGATCTCGATCTTTACGACTTTACCTTATGTAACACTTTACCCCTAATGTATCACCCAAAAGTGTTACAATATCACTGAAAAGTGTTACATTAGAGAAAATGTAACACTTTTTTACCATTACATTTGCTCATGTTGCATTAGACCTATTGTAACACTTTATAATCCCTAATGTAACATTTATACTTCTAGAAAGTGTCACATTAGGTCTAAAAAGTGTTACATTAGAGAAATATGTAACACTTTTACAGATATGTTACATATTTAATGTTGCGTTAGGTCTAAAAATGTATTAGTGTATATATTGACATATAGATCGAATCAGTTGTATAACTAGTAATATAAACTCTCTCAAAATGAAGGTTACTCTTTAAATGTGAGTTCCAAGTTAAATATTAATTATGAATGGAGATCACTTGCAGTGAAGCGTGAAATTAAAAGATAAAATATAAATAATCACTTTACATTAACATGAAACGAAGGATAATATTTGTTTAAATGTTTCAGAAATATTATTGAACAAGTCAATTATAATGTACAATGACCATACTATATGGCACCAATATATAGATCTATAATATGAAGTAAGAATGTAAGATTCTTAATTGAGATCTAAAATCATCACGAAACACTACAAGCAAACTGACATTCTATGACAAACAAAATGTGTCAAAAAAGGTGAAGGTCGTGGCAATTAGACCTCTAAGAGGATTTGCCAACATACTAAAAGTGTCACTAGAAACAATGTTAGGATAAACCTTTCTTCACACTCAAAAAAATGTGTGGGCAAATCCCTTTACATTTTTGTTGACTTATAAGTGTGTCAAGAAATTTACCAAGTCCTTAACGCTTTTTAATTTTATGTGTCAAGGAAAGTTTTTGGTGATACACGGAAGCGAAAAATAAAATAAAATGTTGTATTAAAACAAAATTTACAAGAATAGTATGTAGTACAATACATGCAAATGAAAACCCAGGGATTTAGTATACCCGCCAAAATATGGGACTTTTCTTTTAAGTTCACCATGTCGCCACACATTGCTTGCAGTATTCTCCACAAATACGGGGCTTTTCTTTAAAGCTCACCAACTCGCCACACTTTTTGAAAACGATCTCATTCCTACAAACATGCAATTAAATGAGATGTAATATGAAGTTAGAAAAAGGATGTTGCAATTTCAATTCCTTTTAAATTACATTACATGATCAATAACATCCAAAATTCATACAATCACTTACATATTAGTCTTTTTCCTTAACAAAAAAACATGCAATTGCAGCACGTTTAATAGTTGTGATACATTTGGAAGGATCAATAGTCATCTTTAAGTAGGGTTTTGCATGCAATTCTCTTCTCCCGCTGCAATTTGCTATTGCATCTGATGCATCTACCGGTGCATAAGTGTGATGCTTATCTCTTCTTCGATCCATTACAATACAAAATCACTTGACATTATATATCACCAAACATAAAATCAATTGATGGATTAAAGAAACTATTAAGAACAAATAGGTTGCATTCAATGTTGCTTCGTGTCTGCCATGGGTGTCTTGGTGTCCCACTTGTTCACTCCCTTCCATGTCCTACAGATATTTTTTATTAAAAAGCCATATTTTGTACTCCCTCCGTCCCGTTGGAATGTTCTCGCTTTCCTTTTTTGGATGTCCCAAAAAGAAGTTCTCATTTCCCTAAATGGAAAGTTATCCTACATCAAAAAAGTGCCAAACAGTGCCAAACAGTGTCCCAACAGTGTCAAAACAGTAAAATTTACCCCCTGGTAAGTTTATTTCCTTAATACTACCTCCGTTCTTAAATAAGTGCAACATTGCAAAATTTACACTATTCACATGTTCTACTGTGACTACATTTTATTTATTGATGTATTAATATATATTTTTGAAAAAAAATATTACAAAATTTGTCTCATTGTAAATTTTCAAAATCTGATTTTTTTAATTTTTTTTACTAATAGAGAGTTATATATATTAATGGTCAAAGTTGTGCCTCAACAAATGTGAAATGTTGACTGTTGCACTTATTTAAGAACGGAGGTAGTATGTGTGTAGGTCAAACCGGAAACATTCCAACGGGACGGAGGGAGTATTATTTTCAATATGTTGTACATAATAATTTTACCGTAGCTCCACTGAATTTTTAATCATCTCAACCTGCACCTAAAACATCAATTGAGTATTTTTTAAAAATAACTTTTCATTAAGTTATATAAAGAAATTCTCTTGTTCCATTACTACTTGTCTTGCTTTACCAAATTTGTGCATCTCCAATACTACTCCTCCCTTGCATTCTCTTCTTTTGTTCCGTTACAACCAATTTTTTAATCAAATATGTAACTTTTAATTGCGCGCGCTGAATTGTGTAATAATAAGAAAAAGTATGGCTGAAGTTACTTTTATGGTTGTATTGGCTGAAGTTACTGTAGATGACCATTTTAGAAATTTTCATATAATTTTTCTTGATTTTATTAATAAAATACGTAATATAATTTTTTCATAAATCACTAGAATCAGCCAATACAACTACTTCAACCATAACTTTATAAATTTCAGCGAAATCAACCGATTCAGCCAATTTTAACACCACCAAACGAGCTTGTTGGGGTATTGGGCACAAGCCCAATACGCCCAGCCCAAAGCATAAAGGAGGCCCTGGGCAAACAAGAAGCCCAACACAATCGGAAAGGTCCGAGATGTCCCGAACGGGAGAGTACCTGAACAACATTCGGGTTGATTTATTCACTTGAGATAATCAACAAAGTACTGACATCCAAACACCCACAAAGGGGGTCCCGCACACCGAATGCGCTACCCGGACGGGTAGTCATCAAGTGGGAACCGCATTTAATGCTGAAATATGGCAATAGCAAGTAGAGGCATGTGTGCGCTCATGGCAGAGGTAACAGCCTACCGGGTTCGGCCACGTGCCCATATCACCCACCCCCTCTTAGTATAAATACCCGCCTTGAATACATTGTAAAGAGTTAGCAATTTCATACTTAGAGCTTAGCAATAGAATCATCACTCTTGTTCTTGTATTTGAACTCATACTGACCCACCGTTCGGACAATTTCAGTGCAATCACAGAATTACGTAATACAAGTTAGCTTCTGAGTTAAATCTTAATTCACTGTTTTATATTTTATACACCTTTTAACCGAGAAAACATCCTTAATATCCAAAACGTGTGTTGGGGTTTCGGATCTACGAGACTAAACCTCAACAGAGCTCTGATTGGTTTTGTGTAAATAGTAGGGGTGGGCATAACGGTTTGGTTTAACCAAACCGAACCGTAAACCGAATTGCCCACCCCTAGTAAATATGATCTTGTTCGGTATCCTTTTTGTATATATTTGCCCCCACAGGCCCACACAGGAGCTTTCGAGTATATAAAAGGGAATTTATCACAAATAGCCAAAAAACAAAAAAAAATATCAGTTTTGTGACTTTTGTCATTGCTCGGGTATCTTTTCAAAAATAGATTTCGCTGAACTTTTCTTTCACAATAGAACGCCCAATCCAGCGAACCCTGTGAAGAACTCCATGTAACCCAATCCATCGCACCAGTTTACTTCGGCGACTCGCAAGGATGCAGTCCCAGTTGGCCAGAGTCGCAGTTCGCAGTCGGCCGTTCTCTTTGCCGCCACAGCCCCAAACGCCATAGCCGCGCGCCGCCCCTTATGCGTGGCAGTGTGCTTCTCTCAATTTCACTTCTCACTTTGTTGCACTTCTCCGTTACGGCTTAACCCCTGGGCATCACAATTTTTCTTCCTGATAATTGGATTTGAAGAACAAATAAAAAAAAAGTTAAAAGGTGTCAAAGTATTGTTTTCTGCTTTTAGGTGATGAAGATGCTCGCTGTGTACAGTAATTAGACTAGAGAAATTATTAATCAATTTGTAGAAAAATGATGCGCTTTAATATATCAAAAGCTGAAATTTTGAACATCATCAATGTTAGATCATGTACTCTATCTCAAATTTACTCGATAATAGAGGAATATGATGTTCGTTGTCCGAGAAGTGAGGCAACTAATGATGAGGAAGAGAGTGAAGCACCGTAGATGACACTGGTCGAGACAATACAACATGTTTTGCCTGCCTCGGCCTCCTTTGCCTGCCACGCATAATGGGGAAGTTAACGAAAAAGTTGATGGAGAGATGGAACCATCTCCTTATGAATAGAGTCATTGAGGGTAATGAATAATAATGCACTTTACCCAAGAAATTTGTACGTGTGTTATGTGACCAGTTTTGAGTTGGATTGATTAAGATAATACAACCATGTCACTGTGTAAGCGGTAAAATTTTGCAGTTCATCAAGATGTTAGATATGCAAGTCTTATACTCTGTACTAAATTTTTAATTGTTATATTATTATCATTTTATTTTTAGTTTTTGTTGCATATGGTTTCTTTGTGTTTCTTTTTGTTGCCATTTCTGATTTTTTTGTTTTTTATTGTTTCTTTATGTTTCTGTTTTTTTTTTTTTTTCAAATTCATAAACAAAATTTAACATTTTTGATATTTCTATTTTATGTACAAAAATGAACAGAAATCTAAATAAACAGCAAAATTCTAAATAAACAATAATAAGAAACACAGTGCAACAAAAAGTAACATAATGCAACAATTAGCAACACAATGCAACAAAAAGCAACATATACAATGCAATAAAAAGAAACAAAAACAACATATAAAAGTATTACAATAAATATACAATTCAATCTATTGTTTTAATTTATTACATATATCTATCATATTATTTAGCGTTGTTCTATAATTCCTTCAGGTCTTTGACTCGATCTTAATCTTCATTTTCCTGAGTGATCCTCATTTCAATCTTAGTATCATCATCTTCACCGTGTACTTTGTTTTATAAGCCTGCAATGAGAACACTATCGCAATCACATATGTCAGAATCAGTTATTACAAGGATCCAAAGAAAAATGGAACTAGCTGAATATTACAACTCACTACATGAAGGTATGAAATAATCCCAAACTTTTAGTAAAAGGAACCTGTCATCTTGATGTATAGGAGTAAAGGAGACAATAGAAAGACCTTATAGACAACACATGCCCCAAGGGTACCATTTTCATGTTCCTTGCCTATTGCTTTAACAGGTTCTTAGGAGTCCAATCTTCCATCTCTAGTTTTGATGTTATCTTAGTGCTGCTCTGCACAAATATTGGTACCCAGGCTAAGATCTAGTGGGGGCTCAAATGGCTTCCATGATGAACAAATGAAGTTTATCTTCTTAGTGTGACTCCCAATATCACAAAGCAAACAAAAGTATAAAAACCAATCTGGGAAAGGATCAATACGAAAAGCAAAAAAAAGTGTCAATGACATCACTAATAACCTTCACCATTTCAAATATGAAATATGAATTTTGAGCAATACACCTGCAACATAAATACAAGCTTCGTAGTTCTTTGTTACTGGGGAGCTTCGTAGAACAAGGATTTGTTACTACTAGACTTCTTTTCCCACTTTTAGACTCCATTAGATCATAACACATAAAGGTTAGAATAAGCAAATGCAAATTAGAACCGATCATATAATATAATAACAACACAAGACCAGGGCAAGTAAATAATCCATATCATGACAGGGAGATAAAATGTTTGATGGCTTTCAAATGAATTGCACATTTAATGTAAATTTAATGTATATTTATATAATTATATGTATGTATGCATATGTCAAGGAAAAGACATCACAACTTGGAACAAGGAACTGACTTTATAACATGTGATAGTTGATAAAGAAGTGCTTGTGTTGTATTGGCTCAAATGCTCAATGAATTGAAGCGCAATTAAAAAAGATACATAATACATAAATCATTGTTCTAGCCGGGGCATAAAAGCAGCTCAGTACAAAACAAAAAGTTACATAATACATCACCATTGTTCTAGCTTTTAAATAAACTAACTGAAATTCAGGGAGGAAATTGTCACTATGAGAAAAGACAAATATAACAAAATTACTCATCTTTAAGTTGTCTTCTACTATTGGCTCCAGTCTGATTAACATTAGGTAAGAACAATAATGATAAGCAGGAGAAACTGCTGCAATTGTTGGACCTTTCATGATGACAAAAGTGAAGAGGACTGGGAAATTTTACTACCCCTATAATTAGCAGACATGCCCGCGATCCTCTTTACATTGCAAAAAGGAATATATTAAAGTAAACCAAACAAAATGAAGCATAATAGTGTAATACATATGTTTCAAATCACTATGGCGTGAGAAAAATTGCAGCTACTCTAATTTGAACAAATTAAGTATGGATGCTCTAAAACCTAGAAATTCAAACACATTATGAATCGTTATATGCAACAGACAAGATTGATTATACAAAGCAATATTCCAGGTGCATAAAATTAAATATGATGGAGAGAAAGGCAACCTGTGATAGTCGATAGAGAATTCAAATCATGTAAAGAACTCAATGGAGTTGCAGAGCTTCGGACTTGGATTCCGGCATACCCGGTGTGAATCGAGAGCACTCCCTCCGTTTCTTCATTGAGATTCATGGAGGATTCCTAATCCTCCATCTCCAGAATAAAATAGCTCCATGGACGGTGCCAATCCTAGCCGTGGAATCCTCCCTCCCGAGAAGAGAGCGCTCTCCAAACTTCCTATCGTCTCTCGCAGAAGTGAAGAGAAACGGTAATAGGAAATTTGCTTTCCGTCTCTCCGGTGATATACAGAGGAGGTAGACAGAAACCAGTCTAAACTTGAAATAAAAAAACATAATTGAAAATATAAAAGTTTAAAAGTGAGAAGGAAAAACAATTGGGACATTAATGATATATGGGCCACAAAAGTGAACCAAACGGGTAATTTCCACTATATAAAAACCTTTATAATCCAGGAAACAATTGGGCTAGAGAAAAGTGTGAATGTGTGATTTGTGCGAATTTGTTACTGGCCCATTAAGAGACTACTGTTATCGCACTATCAAAACCCTAAAACCCAGACTGCTCTTCTTCATCAATCATCACCGCTTATATAATGTCGAGGCTATCACTATCTCCAAGCAACAATATCAGAATTATTCCAGTTGTTGTCTTGTGATTTTAATTTTCTTTCTGGTAATATCCTGTGCCTCTCGTTCTTAATATGATAATATGATAATCATTCTGTAATATAGTCTTCTTGTTATATTAATCCGTGCACAATAAGCCGATGCTCTGGATTAAAATAATGAAGGAAGCATGGTTATGTGCACGGAAATTGAATCAGAGTCGTCATGTCTGCTCCCTCTGATCCTTCTAAGGACTTATGATTTGGGGGCCTGGATTAGACTCATATTTTACACCTCCATATTCATTTTAAGAGTTTTTAATCCCCTGAATAGATTTTTGATTGCTGTACTTGAATGTGCAGTATGAGAAATCTCCATTTCATGGCGGCGGAGTGGGACAGAAATGGACGCCCCGCCATCTCTGATCAATACGCACGTCAAGATTCTCGGTTTTGATCTACAAAATCTTAAGCCGAATCCGTCAGATCTGGCCGTCTTCAACCGCAATGGCGTTCGCGTCTGGCGGGTTGAGGTTCTCGGCGTGGTCGTGAGCAGGGAGTTCAAATCTGGAAGTTTTCTGAAATTCACAATTGACGATTCCACCGGATGCATTCCGTGCGTGCTCTGGCTGAATCATTTAACTTCTCCGTACTTCTCGCGGAGAAGTCAGCCAGATGTTCTTGCGGTTGCGGAAATGGCTTCAAAGTTTGCAGATGAAGCGCAGATCGGTGTCCTGGCTAGGGTTCGTGGTAAGATCTCATGTTACAGAGGAGTTGTGCAAGTTACAGTGTCTGATTTGTTCATAGAGAGAGATTCGAACTTCGAGATCCTTCACTGGTTGGAATGTGTTAAATTATCTCGTAATTTCTTCACATAGTAAATACAAATGTAATTGGAATCACAGCCTAGCTACCTGCTCGACATATATACAGGCCAATGGCCATGTTAACATGTCTACATCATCACCTACATGAGGAACAAAGGTTACTGCGTAAATGAGGGGGCTGGGAAGACGAGAGCGATAAAAGGAGTTTTTGACATTATTATTAACTTTAAAGTTGAATTTATTTCTAAAAAGATTCAAAAACTGATTTCATACTTCATTTTTTTAAATAAATGTAACGTTCAACATTTTATACTTGTTGAGACATAATTTTCACCATTAATATAAATGATTTTGTATTAATAAACAATTAAAAAAATTAGATGATGAAAATTTACAATGAGACAATTTTAACAATATTATTACATTAATAAATAAAACGTAGTCAAAATAGATTATGTGAATAATATAAAATTTTTAATAACGGAGATAGTATTACTATTGATAAATTTTAATTTTTATTAAGAGTGTCTTTTTGGTCGATGTGCTAACTCTAGAGAAAACGTGCGGGGGTGAAGGATTAGAAAATGACAAAATGTATAAGAGAAGTGTGTAGTTACCATTTTAATTGTGTCAAAGTTAAGACATGGAATAACAATGTTACGTCAATTTTAACAAACAATGTCACATTTATTTAAATTCGGATAACTGGGAATGACATTTATAAATTGAATAAAAGGGGACCACACTCGATATGAAAAATAATTAACGAACTGAAACCGTGTTTCTTATAAAAAATATTTTATTTCAAACTCCCATCCAAGTAAATTGCTTCCTAACAATATATTTCCTAAGTAACATGCGGTGATTTCTAATTCATATTTGGGAAAAGCTCTAAGATGAAAAACTCAATTCAATTTGAATTGTACTAGAAGATTTGATAAAAATCAATAAGAAACTAAATTTCAAAGTTGTTTATATAAAAACAAATCAAAAATGTACTTCATCCGTTCACCAATTAAGTTCTCACTTTTCTTTTTTGGGTAGTCCCTAATTTAAGTTCACACTTTTATATTTTTTGTATTTGGAAAATTATCTACATCAGAACAGTGCAAAATAGTGCAAAACAATGCCAAACAATGTTTAAACAATGCAAAACAGTGCAAAACAATGCACTCCCTAGTAAAGTCAAATTTATTTTTTTAATATGTGTGTGGTTAAACCAGAAACTTAATTGGAGGATGGAGGGAGTAGTAAATAAAAAAATATAGGGAGTTTATGTTAATGAAAAAGTGATGAAAATAGAAAGAGAATTTTAGATTTCCTTTTAAGATTTCTAAGATTTAAATAAGAAGTAAAATGAAAAAGGGAAGTTAAATTTGTAAGCTTTTGTGGAAGACAAAAGCAATAAAAATAAAAAGGAAAATAAAAGAAAAACAAAAGGAAGAAAGAGAGAGTTTATTAGGCCACTCCAAGTAGGGATGGACTCCGTTCAGGCCGCCCGGCCCGGAACGGGCCCTGCCCGGTACTGTTTAGAACCGGCCCGGTCTGAGAAACCAGTTTTGATTCCGGTTTAGCGGTTCCGGGCCCGGATCAAGCAAGAGGTGAACCGGCCTGGCCCGGTTCGGGCCTTTTTTATTTTTATTTTTGGTTTTTTGGGGTTTGGGCTGGATTTGGTTGGTCTGGGCTAGGTGTTTCCGAGGGATTTGGGGGGTGGGGGATGAAATAAATAAGAAATACAAAACAAAACGAAAAATTGATCTGGAACCGGCCCAGCTCAGAACCGGCCCGACCCGGAACCCCCATCTACCCGGGCCGGTTCTGGTTCCCCCTTTCCCAAAAAAAAAAGCTCGGCCGGGCCCAGGCTTGAACCGAAACCGGCCCAGGTCCACCCCTACTTCGAAGAATGTACTCTACAAAAACAGAAAACTTTTGTCAAATCGAGCCATGAACTACTATAGAAAGTTGTCATCCAGACATTTGACTCATTTGATCATTTGTTTTAGTATTAAATGTTTTTATTTGATGTTTTTTTTAGTAAAAGGGCTGCAATTATGTTTTTGGTACGGTAGCAGAGTCTATTCAAACATTTTTCCTTTTTTTTGAAAGAAGTCATATTTGTAACTCTTTTTTTCTTGAAGAAATTATACTTGTAATACCACTCTCAATTAGTCAAATGGGAACGTTTTAACTCAAAGCACGATAAGGTGTGGGGGGCAAGTTATATGAGTGAAATTGACTTCTAGGGTACTTGAGCATCGGTGGTAAATAGAGTAAATGTTTAAATAAGAGTTGTGACCTTATTTGATTCGTCCACATACAACGAAATTTGTGAGTTGTGACCAAAATTTGACTAGATGCATTTTCGTCCGCAATTATCTTTTTATCTTTATCTAATAAAGAGCAGTAATCTTGGTCTTTTTCTTCGTCTACAATAATAATCCCAGTTAAAAGTGTTCATAAAAATAATCTGTACTCACAATAGCGTCCACAAGAATATATTGAGGTGAATTCAATCTAATGCCCATTAGTATTTCCAACCTCTACTTTCATTTTCTCTTTCACCACTTTTCGTCTCGGACTCTCGGTTAACATTTTTATGCTCCAATCTAGACAAAATCACATATGCATGGTGAAAATGGTCTTGAGATGAAACCGATTTTAATTTGAGTTTGCCCCGAGAAGAAGAGTGAGGAAGAAAAGTGGGAATAAGAATTAAGAGTACTAAATGAGCATTAATTTGAATTCACCCAAATCATTCTTATGAAGAACATTGCTAGTTTGAATTATTTTCATGGATACTTTGAGTGTGAATTACTCCCTCCGTCCCAGAAAATCCTTCCTGGTTTGACTTGGATCGAAGTTCAAGTAAGAGAGAATAAAGTGGAAATGTATGGTTGTGGTTGAGTAAGAAAAATGTAAATGAATGGTATCCACACAAATAGTCCTGGACTCGGGCCAGGTGGCCCGACCCGGAACCGGCCCGGGACCAGTATTGTGCTGAACCGGCCCGGACCGGTGGCCCGGCCAGTGACCGGTCCGGGTAGGCCCGGGGGTTCCCGGTGCGGGCTCGGGTCACTCAAAAGCCGGATCGGCCCGGCCGGTTCGGGCCCGGTTCCGGAGTTTTTATTTTTTTATTTTTCAATTTTTTTTATCTTTTTCGGGTTGGGCTGGGTATTTTGGGCCATTTGGGGTGGTTTGGGGGGGGTTGGGGGTGAGGGGGAGGTTAATTAGGAAAAGGAAAAAAAATTGACCCAAGATCCGGCCCGGACTCGGTGGCTACCCGGGCCGATCCCAAGCCCACTTATTCAGAACCGGCGGCCCGGCCGGGACCCAACCCGGCCCAAATCCAGCCCTACACACAAACTTTTCCAAAAAGGGAAATGGGTACTATTATTGTGGAATCCCTAAAAGTAGACATTACTCTTAATTTCTTATGAATTTCACCTTTAATTGATGAAACTAACAATACAAACTCTTAATAACAGATTCTACCATTGTGGAAACTTTATTAGTGATGATTTAAAATAATACACTGGAAGAGTATTTAGATCAAAACATGCTATTACACTACACCAAAAGGCAAGACTACAACAGATTCATCAGATTAAGGCTTATACAAGTGTGAATCGTCCACGAGCGGAATTACATGACCCTTGGCTTTAACACAATAGTGGAATGCTTCAAAATGTGAAGACTGAACTGCCCGCCCTTCTCACTGGTATCAACCTTGGACTGCCCCGGTGGCGGCAAGAGCTCGAAATTCTGGACTATACGCCCCAAGACAATCCCTAGTATGGGCAGCGCCAGGATTATCCCTGGGCAGCTCCTCCTCCCTACCCCAAAGGGCAGGAACCTGAAGTCATTCCCATTGGCCTCAACGTGCTTCTCCTCTTCCAAGAACCTTTCAGGTCTGAACTCTTCGGGCTTTTTCCAAAGGGCCGGGTTGTTTGCGAGCCACCATGCATTGACTAAGATTTTGCTCTCAGCCGGAATGTCATACCCGCCGAGCTTGGCTTCGTGGAGGTTCATGTGTGGGACAAGAAGTGGGATGGCCATTCTTAGACGAAGAGTCTCCTTGATCACGGCCTGAAGGTAAGGAAGCTTGTGGGTATCTGGTTCAGTGATTTGAACGCCAGGCCCGAGGACTGTGTCGATCTCATGACGGAGCTTCTTCTGGATGTGTGGATGGTTGACTAGCTCCGCAATGCCCCACTCAATTGACCAGAGCGTAGTTTCGATTGCTGCACATGATATAAATGGATTATTATTGAAGACTGAGTATATGGTAAGCAGCTGAACCAAAAGAAGGTCGGACATTTTATGAAACAACTTGCTATGGTAAAGAAGGAAAATAAGAGTTCTATTAATAAATTAGATTCAAGAAATTACGTTTAATAGGTTTGAGTTGGCCAGGCATATATTTTGTAACCAATTGAAATATGCACTTACCGTGCTCATCTCCCTCAAGGATATCACCCTTTTTTGTGTTTGTTCAGTATGTGTAAAGTGTTATTTTGCTGTCATTATTGAATTAGGTGCGGTAACGGTAAGAAGAGGCCTTTAAGGTGAGAAATGAAAATGAATTTAACTACGGTTGAATTCAACAATGTTCAACTAAAGATGAACACTTGAGCAGTGACATTCTTGTAATACTTGTGAAAATACCATGTTGCATCTCTTTAGTGCTAACATGAAACTCTTTTTTGAAAGGGAAAGTTCCCGAAATAGGACTAAAACAGTTTGAAAATTCTAAAATAGGACTGTCATGTTTTTTATTCCCAAAATAGGAGTAATTACTGCCAAGTTTGGAAAATACTGACATGTTTGAAGTCTTGTACTGCCAAAACATGATAGTAATTGGTCCTATTTTGGGAATAAAAACATGACAGTCCTATTTTGGAATTTTCAAACCTTTTTAGTCCTATTTCGGGTAATATCTCTTTTTGAAATTGTATTGGTGCAACATTGTCAAATCCAAATTCTAGTGCAACATGAAGTTATTTTAGTAACCAGCAAGATTCATTCTTATCTATTACATATAATATGTGAACCAAAATCTTACTAAATTTTGTGATATAAATAGTTTGATAAAATCCATTTTCAACCAAATATTTAACTAGTTAAGTCAAAAAATAGTTAGGTCCTGTTTGGTATGGATAATTAGTTTATTATGATCATTGATCATATGAATAAGAGCTTCTTTGGTAGCTGAATTCAATTTATTTCGCTAAAATGGAAGTTCAAAATGCTTCCCTTTCACAAAATTGATTTGGTTCATCTATTTCAACCAAAAAAACACTCACCTAAAAGGCTCTAGGAACACTGGACTTGCTCATTTGGCTAAAATAGATTGTAAAAACATTTTTCTCTAGAAATGTAGAAGGTTAGGTCATTTGATACAAAAAAATCTTCAGGTGGACTCTTAACAGTTCTACTACTTATCATGCTGAATTGCTGATAAAAAGAATCAGGAGGGTACTGTCTACTAACTTAGCCTTACAAAAAGATGGTACAGATTCATCCAGGACTATCCTAATGCCGTACAAACAAGGAGTTACTTTTGCAGTTTTGCAACAGATATGTTGGGGCAGTTTTTTCCCTGTTAGTGAAAGTCCAATGTTTCCTTCACAGTACAGAGTGCAGTTGTGAAATAAGAGGCTCCTGGCCTAATTCAACTACTCCGTATTAAATAGTGTGTTCAATTAACAAGCAATCAACATGAACTTTCAATTTAAGTAAAGGGAATTTGCTAAAAAGAACACAAATTATTAATCACAAGCAATCAACAATCTATTCTAATTTATGACTTGATTCATTTTTTCAAGAATACTAAAGAAACACATGATATTAGATCAGTACGATAATTTTTTTTTTTGAAAGGAGTACGATAATATGTTATCATTTACTCCCTCCGATTCAAAAACAAGTTCCACCTTTCCTTTTCGGACAGTTCCAAAATTAAGTTCCACTTTCAAACCTTTCCTCATTTGGCAAATTATCTACGTCAAAACAGTTCCAAACAGTGCTAAACAGTGTCCAAACAGTGCCAAACAGTGCACTCCAAAGTAAAGTCAAATTTCTTTTCTTAATATGTGTGAATTCAAATGTGAAGTTAAATATATACTTTATGCGTCCTTTATATAATATGTTTCGTATATACTTTTATTGTTGTCATGCATATTTAACCACTTTCTTTTAAGCATTTAATATGTTATTATTACTATTTTTCACTCCTTCTACAGTCTACACAAATGGGATATTACCCGAAATAGGACTAAAAAGGTTTCAAAATTCCAAAATAGGACTGACATGTTTTTATTCCCAAAATAGGACTAATTACTGCCATGTTTTGGCAGTACCAGACTTCAAACATGGCAGTATTTTCCAAACTTGGCAGTAATTACTCCTATTTTGGGAATAAAAAACATGGCAGTCCTATTTTGGAATTTTCAAACTGTTTTAGTCCTATTACGGGAACTTTCCCTACACAAATTTCAACAAGCAGTTTTTATTTTTATCCGAAGTGTCGTTCAATCTTGGTAAAATTATAAAGGATATAGGTAGTATAATACTCCCTCCGTATCATATTATCTACCCCGTTTGCTTTTGTACTGTAGCGGCACTATAGTTGCTTTTAGGGTAAAAAGGAAATTGGCACTTATTCTGATAAGTATTGAAAAGGAAAGTGGGACAAATAAAAAGATACGAATGGAGTATTATTTACACATTCAAGTTACTTTAATTCATAATAACCGCATTCCTATAGTTAACAAGGTTTTAATAGCCTATTGTCTCGCCTAGAGGGCTATAAATAGGTGTAACCCTTATATAATAGGGATATACTACGGGAGTGTTTTCAATTACTTTTGCTTTAGAAAAGTGACTTTTAAAGTGATTTTGAAGAAAGTGCTTAATAATTAAAGTTGGTAGTGTTTGAAAAAAAATTAAAACTTGGTAGTATTTGGTGAAATATGTGTTTTTTGTGTAACAGAATAAGTAAAAAGCATTTTCCAACTTTTAACTTTTAAGTGTTTAATTTAAGTAGAAGTTGTCAATAGAAAACACTTTTATTTGAGCTTTTTTAAGCTAAAAGTTAATAATCACTTTTTTGTTTAATTGTTTGTAAACATACCCTAAGAGGAGGTGAAATCTTTGCCATGTACTCTAAAAAGTGGTCACCCTCTAATTAGTTTGGATCAAAATGGTTGTATGGAGTACGTCATATCAGCCAAGTGCGTTGAGAAAACATGGAACTAGTGAAGTTAAAGTATCTGTTAGAATGTGACAACAAATCTGAGATTGTGAGTATATAGACATACCGGCCACATTGATGTTCTCGACAATGTAAAGGACGTTATCTTCATTGATCTCTCCCTTCTGTTCCGCTTCAAGAATATGATCTATAGCACATTTGAGACTGTTGTTATTCATCTTCTTTGTGCTTGAAATATTCCTGCAACAACAACAACAATTAACCACATAGCTACAACAACATCCAAACTTTATTCCCAAAAGATTTTGGAATCGACTAACATGAATCGATCCATGATATCAAAGCCAAAACTGGAAGAAAGATTATTGCTTAAAAAGGGAATAAACGATGAAAATAGTTTAAAAATTGGACTAACTATGTTTTATTCTCAAAATAGGACTTTATTTAGTCGCTAGGAGAGTAGTCATAAAACATTACAAACTTTACAGAATAGGACCAAAATTAAATTTATTTAGTCCCTAGGATAAAGTCATAAAACATTAAAAAATTTCCAACATTAAAAACTTTCCAAAATAGGAGCAAATGAATATATGTTGGGAAGAAAATAGCGCAAATGAATTTTCTCCCAACAATAGTGGAGTAATATACGGAATTCTTGTATCTTAGTCGTTGACCCTTGAGGCAATCACCCTATACGGAATATTTGGAAACCTTTAGTACTGTTTAAACTTGCATTTCTTCATATGGATTTATTTATTGGACTCATCAAGGATTCAATTATCAAGATCACACAATTCCTAATATTTGTAAAGTAATTCGGTTTAATGTGCTTTTAAACTGATTAAATATGAGAAAAAATTGTGACTTTGAACAGATCTAATTGTAGAAAAAGTTCCTGAATAAGCAAAAATTAAGACAAGATTGAAGAAGAAAATGAATAGATAGGAAAACAACTTACTTCCTTTCGTCGACAAAGAAGTCCTTGAATAGCTTCAACCTCCTCTCCTGAAGCTCCTTGCAGATCTTCAAGTATCCTCTCAAAAATGGTCTCAAAACAGGAATGAAATCTCCATAGTTATACTCAAAGCTCTGAGCCAATCTGCTCCTCTCTCCGTTCAATGCCTTCAGCTTGATGAACAGAGGATCGTCCTCACTCTCAAATCTTCTGTCAAACATGATCCTGTACATGTTATTGTACATCATAAGCTGCAGCCGCCGCCTCAATACGATTCCTGTCGTCGCCGACTCCGGATTCTTCTTCACGTCCTCCACCACGCTCTCAATTTCCGCCTCCCACCCGGCCCGGTACTGCTGGACCACCTTATTGGTGAAAAACGGGACCGTCATAATCCTCCGCATCTTCCGCCAGTGCTCGCCGTAGACGGTGAACACCATGTCCTGACCCTTCCCGGTGAAGATGTCGAAGACAACATTCCGCGTGCGAGACCCGAATTCGACCCCCTGCGTGTGGAGAACCTCCTTGGCGAGCTCCGGCGACGAGACGACCACCAAATTCCTCTGCCCCATTCTCAGAAGGAAAACGTCGCCGAATTTCTTAGCGTACTCGGTGAGGTTCCGGTGGTTCAAGTCATCGCCGACTTGGAGCCAGTTCCCGAACAACGGCACGGGGATCGGGCCCGGCGGGAGCTTGAACTTTTTGCCGCGAAGCTTAGAGACAACTACGGCCACTACGATGGCGAAGAAGAGGCCCAGGAGGGCCTTTTCTATGAGGAGAAGATCCATCTTGAACCAGAGCTTGAGGGATAATTTTATACGGGAGAAACAGGCGGCGGTTGCGGTGACACCAGGAGGAGAGCGGCGGAGAATGGGAATTTATAGATAATGAAATGAATTGGTGGGAAGGGGTTAGGTGGAGAGAGTGATAGTGGATTGTTTGGTGTTGTCATCTAACGGCGTTAGATTGACGGAGGCGGGCGGTTGGTTAGCTTTGGATGGTGTAGGTGAGCATGAAAGGGGGTTGGTGAGCCACGATTCAACATTTTATGGCTGGGTAACCACCACTGCTGATCTGCCACGTCGTCTATTTGCTTTCTTTTTCCTATTTTTGGAGCAAGTAAAATCACATTTTTATGTTTAGAGTAGGGATTTGGGATCCCTTTACGGTAAACTTTTTTGACCAAGTCTGGTGCATAGTCACTAAATTTCAGTTTAAAATTCAATCTTAATAATTAAGTGAAATAAAGTTTTGAAAAAAATTGCATTGTTTACATATACAAAGCACAATTTTTGTAAAAAAATTATTTGATTGTTTTTTCGGTTTGAATTTTTAGCTAAAATTTGGTATGAACAAACTAAACTTGATAAAAAACATGTTTAAAAAATTTCATAAAAAAATTTTACCGGAAAGAACCTCAAATGATCTCGACCTTATATGATCATTGTGGCGTATCTGTGTTGAAAGTATACATTATGGTATAGATTAATTATTACTAAGTATATATATTACTCTTTCCGCCCCCCTAATTTTGTGACTTTTTGTCTTTTTTGTTCGTTCCATTAAATTTGTCTTATACTTTCTCTGTTCTTTTTTAGTTGTAACAGTCAACCTTTTCACATTTGCCAACGCACACATTTGACCATAAGTATATCTTAATCTCTATTAATAAAAAAATATTAAAAATCAGATTTTGAAATTTTGTAATGAGATGAATTGAAAAATATATATTTTTTAAAATAATTTCCATAAAATAATAGTATAAAATGTAGTCAAAGTAGATCATGTGAACAGTGCAGAAGTCAACATGTTGCGATTAAAAAGAGACGGAAGATAGTACATATTTGATACTATTTGAGTGACTACGATTCATTTTTACTTTACTCACACATTATTAATTAATACCAATTACAGAACTCCATTTTTTCTTAAAAACCATACCACATATCTTTGTCCTAAACTTATGGGGCGGAGGTAGTAGTTAGTATCATTCAACATTTTATTGTTTGTATTTGGTATGAAATAAAAATAAAAATAAAATTTGCTATGCACATAATATCGAAATAAGTAGAATCATAAATTTTACTTTGCATTAAGGAGTATTATTAAATTAATGCAAAGTCATAAATAATGAAAAGTTATTTACGTCGTAAATGATAAATAATCTAATCGATGAAGAGTCAAATAGGAGTTTATTATAAAATTTTGTACAACTGTACAAGTCTCTCCTTAACCTTATTAACTTATTCTTTAGCACTGGTTCTCAACTCTACAAAAAAAGGTTGCATTGGAGCAATTCCAGTTTAATTTTTTGACTTAATTAAACTGTGCTTCCGAACAATTGAAGCAAGGGAACCAGATTTGTATTCCAATATAATCAACGACTCTATTGGAGTAAATTAGGAACCGAATTATCGGTTCAGGCTAAAACGGGGTTTCAAACTTTCAAACTAAATTTTAAGTAATTTTGCCGTCAATGAATAGAGTTCATAAACAACAAACATCCAAATGACAATATTAGTGATCAAAAATACATATTCAATACAAAAATATATTCAAACTTAAAAGATAGTCACAATTTGAAATCATTTCTAAATCAAATTAAACACTTCTGAACTTCAAAGAAGAAATTGAGATATGTATGCTTGTACATTACAATTCCAACTTAAAAAAGATCATTGAATTGCAGATTAAAACATGGGTTAAAATAGAAAATAGAACTACATTATTTTAAATTTCCTAAATTTGAATAAATATATGTGCTTGAACACCGCTGGTCTTGTTGTCATCGGCCACCGCTGTTGTCCTCCGGCCGCCGCCCACTGAAATCCGTTGAAAGTTTCCAGAATGGATTTTCGGCCAATTTTACGCTGTCTGCGCCGCCATAACTATCGGACTGACCTACCACCAACTGTCTGTCCGGTTGGCCAAGAGAACTAGGGGGCAATTAATTAATTAGATTAGGATTATTTAGGGTGAAAATTGATGTTTAGTCCTATGTGTGAAAGATTTAAGTTTTAGTCCTATTCGAACGGAGACCGCATATCGAATGTCGGCGACGACCGACGACAACTGCTTATATCGGTGGCTGGCCCAAAGTATGTTGATGTATTCTTGTCCAACCTTGAAAAAATATTCTAATTTGTGAAATTTTAAAAACGTACTTCTATTTTACACTTATTTGAAGAATAACCTTTTGTCACTTTTAGTCCTTCGACTATTACGTCACTGACACTTCCGGTATTCGACTTTGAGTTTTTCTAGTTTTAGTCCTTCGACTATTGTGCGAAAGACAGTTCTAGTACTCATCTTTGAAAATTTCCACATATAATCCTTCAACTTTTATAAAAGTTACACTTTTGGTCATCTGACTATTATGATAGTGACATTTTAACATTTTTAGTCATTCACTTGTTGTATCAAAATCATAGTGGAAAGACCAAGAGTGTCAATTTGATAATACTCACACAATATTCAAGGACTAAAAGTAGAAAAATTGAAAGTCAAGTAATAAAAGTGTCATCAACCCAACAGTGATCCAAAATGGCAAAATCTCTTTCAAGAATTGTGAAGCTATTTTAATATTCAAGGACTAAAAGTAGAAAAATTGAAAGTCAAGTAATAAAAGTGTCATCAACCCAACAGTGATCCAAAATGGCAAAATCTCTTTCAAGAATTGTGAAGCTATTTTATCACTTGGTTTCTTGCATGCACTTTTGAGCTCTGTATTTGGGAGAACAACTAGAAATTTTAGGAACTACAGTTTTAAACATTTCATCTTCGCACCAATTTACTAATGCATTTCATATTCTCATTAATATGGTAGGTACGTACTATATATAGTTTTATACATTTCACATTCTCACTATTTTGCTCATAAGAGTTTTGGTTGTTGTACGTAATAAGAGCATGTCTGGGGACTGGGGAGCAGAGCAGAGGGTGTCCTAATGCTAGATTGGTGAGTCTGGAGCATAGAAAATGAAATGATTCTCGAATTATCCATACCTATATCTTCCCAGAGCTGTGGTTCTTACACTTCTTAGCTTTAATATGTGTTTGTTTTAGTAGTATGGTGAAAAACTGAAAAAATAAGGTCAGCTTATATATAAATTTCTGTTTGTTAGTATCTTGAGTAAATTCATTAAGTAGTGTACTTTACAATATAACCTAAAAAGAACATATCAATAATTATCACATGAATGTTGTGTCCCAAACCAAAACCACATGATATGTATATGTACACATATGATCCAAAATAACAAACACAAAGTAAGAATGTCGTATAAACCCCTGGCTTCACATAGTGCATGCATTACTCATTCCCTTTCATCCCATGCTTTCTTTGTACGTAATTTTGTATCACAATGAATAAATGTCACAATTTCTTATCAAAACCAACGTTAATGATATTTAGTGTGTAACATTTGTAGAAGCATCACATAACAATATTTGAATTGATAAGTTAAGATTAAAAAACCACTGCAAATAAATAAATCTCAAATATTAGTTTGCCTCACAGCAATGGATCTATATGTGGCAAATTAAATGTAAAAAAATTAACATGCATAAGGCCTTATAAAGTTGTAGTGGGATAAGAACATGGCCGGGTAAAGGGCTGTAAATGAATCGAATAATTTTGATTCGATTCGTGATTCGAATTCGAAATTAAAATGCCGATTCGAATTCGTGTAAGTAGAATACGAATACGAATACAAATCTGTTTTTGATTCGAATACCTTATGAATACAAATACAAATACTATGATATTCGATTCGAGTAATATTCGAATTATATATATATATATATATATATATATATATATATATATATATATTCATACAATATATAGTACTTCTTATAAATAAATATAATTCAATGTAAAAATATTAATAACATAATATTCATGTAAATATTTTTCACATTTTAATTTAAACGCTCTTACTTTACCTGGTAAAAATAGCTTAATTTACAATTAAAATTCTCTGTTGATTTCTTTATATTGATATTAAATTTGAAGTGACTTGTATAAATATATTTTGTTTCGTATGAAATATGTAATATGAAAATGAGTTAAAAGGAGCAAAATATACATCATAATTTTAATTATTTTCACAATTTAACTTTAATGTTTTTCGAATTCGAATATTCGAATTCGATTCGAAAAAGAATCGAATATATTCGAATATATCAAACGAATCAAATACGAATATAAAATAAGATTCGAATTTTAACTGAATACGAATACGAATATTCAATAATTATATGAATACGAATAATATTATCAAGTATTCGGTTCGATTCGATTCGATTCGTTTACACCCCTAGCCGGGTTAATGAAAATAAGAATGTTGCACTAGTAGAATATCTGAAAAGAAACAGATTCATATTTCATAACTCCATAAGCATGCTGAATCTGATCTGTTCAAACAAGAAAGGATGGAGAATTGGAGATGTTAGAACGTAGAATATCAATGGAGATAGCATAAATTAAAAGCTACAAAATGAGGTGACCTTTTCTATTGCCCATGAAATTTCATCATGATCCTTAGAGAAACGTCAGAAAGATATATAACGATATGATTGTCCATTAATGTTTATTGTGTATATATAAGACGTAAAAGAATAAAAGAAGAATGAATAGTGTGCAAAAGAGAAATACCCCCTAACACATTTCCCATGTTTTCAAGATTTATTGCTAATTAATGCGAAATTGAGTTATTTTTAAGAGTTGGTGACTTGGTGTGAGTTCTAGAGAACTAATGAAGATAAATTCCACATTATCATCTTGAATACATTCTATATATAGATAGGGAAAACTGGAAACTAAAATAACAACATGTCAATGTGTCTATAACATACACATGAAGATACATTACAAAAGTGACATTATTGGTAACTAGAAAAGTGTTCATCTTATGTCATGCATGTGCTAAATTAAACTTCA